GGTAGGTCGCTAACTCGGGAATCAGAAAAGTTAGAAAGCTGGAATTTTACAGGGACGTTTCCTGCCCAAATAACCCTCAATGAGCTTCAAACCCAGGCATCGAGTATGCGTGATACCCACGTACGGGCCCGTGAAATTTTTTCGCGAGTAAGTCGCGAACTCGAGAACCTGAAAAGCTAGAAGACTGCAATTTTAAAGGGACGTTCCTCGTTCACGTAAGTCTCAACGAGCTCAAAACCAGGCGTCGGCGTGCGTGGTACCTACGTATGGGCCCATGAAACTTTTTTTCAAGTAAGTTGCTATCTTAGGAGCCAGGAAAGTTAGAAAGTTGAAATTTTAAGCGGGTGTTTCCTGACAGTTTTTTCGGCCGGTCTTAATTTGTTTAGCTAGAAATATTTGCCGTAAAAACCGTGCCGGTAGCGACAAAAACTGCGGGGAACTATGCAAAAAACGCATTTTCGCATGCGCAGCCCGTGCGTTGGTTAATTATATGTATTTGCGCAGCAGTATGTAGTTAAAGTTTTCGTTTGTTTGGGACGATTTGTACAATTATTTGGGACTTGCATACGAGTTGAAGAAATGTGAATTGCACTCATCATACTTCGTGAAATTTCCTCAGTCAAACAAACACTATATTACTCAAAAACCCCTTTGGATGCGAAACGTGAAATGCCACTGTCGAGGAAAAAAACTGATTAGCAGTGATGCAGAGATCAGTGGAGAGACGAATGTTAGATGCCAACAAATACCATCCCAGGCAGTATTTCTCACTGGTCACATTTTGATTTGAAAGATGTGAAAACCGAAATGTATGCCAAGAGGAATAATTAGTTGCTTTCCCAAGAAAAAAAAATTTCCAGAAATTTTTATTATGTCGAGACTGAACCAGACTGCGCAATTTGTTGTTATTCGGTAAATATTGCATATCAGGGGGTGTCATTTATGAAGATTCCTTGAACGATCTTCTAAAAGCCAGGGCTTATAGGTAGGAGAGCTAGTCAGGTCATCCAGCAGTGGGCAAAACTGGTGATTAAATACAATGTGAATCAAATAAATGAACCAAGTTTCTCAAAAAAATAAATAATTGGCCAACGCACGGGCTGCCCATGCGAAGATACGTTTCTTTGCATAGCTCCCCGCAGATTTTTGTTGCTAACGGCACTGGTTTTTCCGGCAGATACTTCTAGCTAAAGGAATTTCAGACTGGCCGCCAGGCCTCAAAATTCCAGTCTTCTAGCTTCTCACGTTCTCGAGTTAGCAAAGTACCCGGAAGAAATTTTCACGGGCCCGTACGTAGGTACCACGCCTACCCGCGGGCAGGGTTTGAACTGGACAGGGAACATCCCCCTAAGATTTCAGCGTTCTAGCTTCTCAGATCCCGAGTAATGAACTTGCCCGAAAAAAATTTTGGCGGGCCCGTACGCGGGTATCACGCGGGTGATGGCGCCCATTTTGGTGATTGAGGCCGGTCCGTACATGTAAATTAAGTTCCCGAAATGTCAGTCCTGCAGCTTTTACAGGTCTTGAGATGAAAGTGCGTGACAGACGCACACACAGACACACGAACACACAGACAACCCTTCGTCAGTATGCGTTTCTGCATTGCATAGCTGGAAGAAAGCATAAAAAAGCGAAATAATCGAGCGAAATAAGTATTGTTTCAGTTGTTGCACCATATTCTGACAGATCTCAGCGATGCTGTCAACGTGAATGCACAGAACGAATTGGGTGAAACACCGCTGCACTGTGCTGTTTTGCGCAACGATCTGACGCAGATTATCGCATTACTGGCTGGCAATGCTGATGTGGACATTGCAGACAACGATGGCAATACGCCACTGCACATTGCCGCTCAGGTCGGTTGTGTTACCAAGAAAAAAGAAATTTTTCCAGGAATTTTTCTTATGTTTATAATTTTTGTTATGTTTATCTCTTGATCAAGCAGTCTGCGCAATTTATTCTTATCCGGTAAACATTGCGTATTAGTAGGTGGCATCTGTGAAGATTCCTTTTTACGATTTTCTAAAAGCCAGGGCTTATAGGTTTTGGAGAATTCAACCTTCCCATACCTGCAGGTAACATGTACGGCCTCGTAAAATTTTTGGCGGGTAAAATCATTATCTTAGGAACCGCGGAGGCGAGAGAGCTGAAATTTTATGGGTATGCCCCTTACCATGTGCAACCCAGAAAATTTAAATTCAGTTCCCCAGCTTAGGTATCGCGTATGGCCTCGTGAAAGTTTTGGCGAAAAATTATCTCGACAACCATGAAAGCTAGGAAGCTGAATTTCAGAACGATATTTTCTGCCGCTGCAGATATCTCACAAATTCAAATTTAGCTCCCAGGTATGCAGAGGTGTGCGTAAACAAGAAAACTCTGGAATAGTTGCTCTCAGCGCACAGTTGTTTTCCTGTAAAATCGGGGTTTTCATGCAGTCGATAATCCAGAAAGAACTTGTATAAAAAACTTTTGTCGCACTCCATGCACTCTGAGGTGAAAGCAGTCTACTGGCACCACTACTTTTATTGTTGTTTCAGAGGCACCGTTGTTGCCACTGAGACTTGAGGTGTACCACCGCTAGTGTTTTTGATATTTCACACATAAATAGTACTGAGTGTTTTTTTGTGCTGTGTAACAGCAGTACAAAACGCATATTGTCACGGGGTTGTCTGTGTGCGTGTTTGTGTGTGTGTGTGTGTCCGCAGGAACTTGTCCGCAACTTTCAACTCAGGAATCACAAAAGTTGGGAAGCTGAAAATTTAGGGGAACATTCCCCACCCACCTGTGACTCGCAAATTTAAATTCAGCTTCCCCGTACGAGCGGGTAACACGTATGGCCCCCTGAAAGTTTTTTTATGGGTAAATTAATATCTCGGGAAGCACGGGGTCTAGGAGACTGAAATTTTAGGGTAATGACCCCCTGCCCATGCGCAGCCTTGCCCATTCAAATTCAGCCTTCCCGTATCCGCGGGTAACACGTTCGGCCCCGTGAAAGTTTTTTTACGGGTAAATTAATATCTCGGGAACAACGGAGTCTAGGAGGCTAAAATTTTAGGGCAATGAGCCCCTGCGCCAATCAACCTTGCCTATTCAAATTTAGCGTCCCCGCGTTCTCGGCCACCACCTTCAGCCTCGGGAAAATTTTGGCGGGTAAACTATTAACGCGGGGATCACGGAAAGATATTCACCCTTCAAGGTTTCGAATTCAGCTTTCATGCACTGGTTCGTGAAATTTTTAACTGTTTTCCTATGTTTGAACTATTTTTAAATAGACTAAAGTACAAAGCAGTGAAAATCATTAATCGGCAATCGTTCGATGGGCTGAATTGCACAA